GGTTTTTCATCTTTTTCTGCATTTTTTTGTGATCATTAACTTTTTTTTTAAAAATTTTTGTCATAAAACCGGTTTGTTGACCAGTCTGTTTCCCCATGCTTCAAAAAAGGCACTTACATTTGGTAGATGAGAAGCACTTCGCCAAAAGCAGTCCAATGCTGCAAAGTTCTTGGCGATTTTCTCTTTCAAAAGTTTACTTTAAAGGCAGACTGAGGGCAATTTAATCTTGATGCATAATTTCAGGAAAAGTAACGGAAGAACAAATTAAAGCGGGTTATGAGGCACTCAAAAAAATCGAAAGTTTTATCAAGAAAAAGAACTTTTCGTCCAACTTTGTTGAAGCCGTCAACAGCTATTACACGAAAATTCCACACTTTTTCGGGTAATGAAACAGACAATTGTTTTCATCAAATTTCCACTGTGTGTAATACATTCTGATCGGTTATCGTTTTATCCTATAGCTGTTTTCGCAATAAATCGCAAGCCTCAAAGCGTTGTTAAAAGCGAGATTGTTTCAGCTACAAATCAGCGTAGTGATTCGGGCTTTTTTTTTTTTTTGTTATGGAAACAATGCTTTTACAGGATGCGTCAGCCACCACTTATCAAGACCCAGAAACAGCTCAAAGCAGAAATAAAACTTTTGGAAGCACTGAGCGAAATTGGCATGGCTGTACGAACGTTCAAAAAGGAATCGGAAAGAATCGATATTCATCCAATCGATCGCCACTATATGAATATGCAGTGCGAGATTTCAGTTCTTCCGGATGACGATCCTCAGTATAAGGTACTGATTTTGAAAAATTTGAAACTTCACAGGCATCAGATATACAATACCGCCGAGAAAAAAGCTTTGCGGCAAGCATGTTTTTTACGAGTTTATTTTAACGAAAAAGGTTTATTTTAACGAAAAGATGAACGATAAAGGCGAAAAAGATTTGTTCTGTTGGCCTCTACTTTGAATTTTTTGTGGAATATGAATCATGTGACGGAATACCAAGCGGCTTTTAATTTATTCTTTCAGCAAAATTTTCCCTTTGATGTGATTTTGTTTCCCGAGAAAATAATGTGCATGTATTTTTGTCGGGCGATTCAGCATCTGAGCAAGAAAGAGAGGAAGCTGAAATCGTGAATGTGCAGTGCTTGATCCCTATTGCATGGGTGACGAGTGCCTGTAATATTTTGATGCTTGATCAGCTGCTGTTTCATTGATACTAAATCACTTTTACTCACTGACAGATCCAATGGGGAAGGGAGTGGTGGAGCGTGGAACATCTTGAGAACCGGGGGATCGGGGGGGG